TAGATATTTATAATTGAAATAATTTTGTTATTTGTCGTTACACCTAGTCTTTCTTACTTGAATATATTGTTACAAATTTATACATTTTATTCTTGCAAAATAATTTTGAGATTTGTCGTTAGAACTAATCTTTTTTACTTGAATGTGATATTATAATATTAATATGATATTTTATCCTTGCAAAATAATTTTGTGATTTGTCATTAGAACTAATCTTTTTTACTTGAATATATTGTTATCAATTTATACATTTTATCCTTGCAAAATAATTATGTGATTTGTCATTAGAACTAATCTTTTTTACTTGAACATAATGTTATAAAATTAGACATTTTATCCTTGAATAATGATATTAGAACTAATCTTTTTTACTTGAATACAATGTTACAAAATACATTTTATCCTTGCAAAATAATTCTGTGATTTCTCATTAGAACTAATCTTTTTTACTTGAATATATTGTTATAAATTTATACACTTTATCCTTGCACAATAATTTTGTGATTTGTGATTTGTCATTAGAACTAATCTTTTTTACTTGAATGTGATATTATAATATTAATATGATATTTTATCCTTGCAAAATAATTTTGTGATTTGTCATTAGAACTAATCATTTTTACTTGAATATATTGTTATAAATTTATACATTTTATCCTTGCATAATAATTTTCTAATTTATCGCTAGAACTAATCTTTTTTACACGAATATAATGTTATCAATTTATACATTTTATCCTTGCAAAATAATTATGTGATTTGTCGTTAGAACTAATCTTTTTTACTTGAACATAATGTTATAAAATTAGACATTTTATCCTTGAATAATGATATTAGAACTAATCTTTTTTACTTGAATACAATGTTACAAAATACATTTTATCCTTGCAAAATAATTCTGTGATTTCTCATTAGAACTAATCTTTTTTGCTTGAATATATTGTTATAAATTTATACACTTTATCCTTGCACAATAATTTTGTGATTTGTGATTTGTCATTAGAACTAATCTTTTTTACTTGAATGTGATATTATAATATTAATATGATATTTTATCCTTGCAAAATAATTTTGTGATTTGTCATTAGAACTAATCTTTTTTACCTGAATATAATGTTATAAATTTATACATTTTATCCTTGCAAAACAATTTTCTAATTTGTCATTAGAACTAATCTTCTTTACTTAAATATAATGCCATAAAATACATTTTATCCTTTGCAAAATAATTCTGTGATTTGTCATTAGAACTAATCTTGTTTACTTGGATACAATGTCATAGATTTATACATTCTATTTTTGCATGTTTTTCTTTAATCTCTTGGAAAAAGAACGCGGCAATACAGTAATCTATCATGTAACACTTGTAACGTCAGATACGAGAAAGATTTTTTTCAGATTATAGTATTTGTTCATTGAAAGATAAATAACTACTGTCGTCGTATGAACAAGTCCATTGATAAATTAAACATCCATCGAGAGGTTTTGTTTTACGTTTCGCGGTATTTTTGTAGTATCAAATAGTATGAAAATGTTCATGAATATTTTTGGACGCTATAAAAGACTTTTTGCAGAGCAATTCGTCAACTCTACCGCTAAATTTTGGAAAACTAAGTACCAAGATGGCTGAAAAAATCGACGTTGTGGACGTTTGGAGTAATTAGAGCCATTTTGGAGCTATTGTACTCGAAATAGAGTCTCAAACGGGCAAAAAACGTGATGAAAACCTTCTTGAAAAATGATAGTTTGCATTTTCAAGTTATTTATCAAATTTAGCGATCTTGGATAAATTTTACATTAGTAGAATATTTATTTATTGATAAATTTTGCATCAAACTGGAAAAAATATTTGTAAATATTTATAAATTTTACATTAGTAGAATGTTTATTTATTGATAAATTTTGCATCAAACTGGAAAAAATATTTTTTAACATGGTCAAACGCAATATATAGTTCGAAACAGGAAAGATGTGATTTAGACCAATTTCATAATGATTGTGACATTTCATAGTAAAATTTCTACTTTAAAGTTACTTAGAACTCGTTTAAAAAAAAAGAATGTTTCTTTGATAATTCAAAGTGAAAAAAGCATAATTTATATGTAAATTTTCTAATTTCATATAAGTTGGAAAAAAATATTTTTTGACATGGTCAAACGTCATATAGTATATTTCAAAACAGGAAAGATATCATTTGGGCCAGTTTCATAATAACTGATATTTAATCGCAGGATTTATACTTTAGATACTAAAACTGTTTTTGTAAAGAAAATGATGATTCTCTGATAATTAAAAATGAAAAAAGCACCATTAATTTGCAAGTTCTCGAAGAATGAACGGTACATCTATAGAGCAATTTTCAGGATTTACTATGAATATAATGAAAAATCCATCATTTGTTTGCAAGTTCTCACAGAAAATGAACGATGCATCTATCGAGCAATTTTCACGTTCTACAATCGCGAGTTTTTCATTTAAGAAAGGGATGAAACAGTAGATGACAAAAGAACTCAGATTGGATATGACGAATGACAATTCAAAATGAAAAATCCACCATTAATTTGCAAGTTTTCACAGAATGCATCTATCGAGCAATTTTCACGTTCTACAATCGCGAGTGTTTCATTTAACACTAGAAAGACTGAAACGTAGTATATACCTATATTGCCCAAAAGCAGTCAAAATGACTGCATCGTGAAAGAATAAATAATGTGTAAAGAAATTTGTTTAAAATTAATTTTTAATATTATGGTATAATATTATGAATTTAGGGCGCAGAAATAAAATAAACAACTTGTTAGAACAAGTATCACTGCATAAAGATTCGAATAACAAGTACTACTTTAGCTTATTGAGAAACCGTAATTTATCAATAGGTCTGGGTTAGGTCTGGATTAGATCTGAGTTAGGTCTGGGTTAGGTCTGGATTAGATCTGGATTAGATCTGGGTCAGGTCTGGATTAGATCTGGGTTAGGTCTGGGTTAGGTCTGGATTAGATCTCATTTACACTGTTGTTGTATTTTGTAATTTCCAAGTGTATGATTTGGTTTGGACCCGAAAAAATGTCGAATGGGACTTGACGAACAATGCTTTTAAGTGTTTTATTTGAAATTTACCTGTTAAAATAAGTATTTTATTTACACTGTTGTTGTATTTTGTAATTTCCAAGTGTATGATATCTGTTTGGTTTGGACTTTTAAGAATGTCGAGTGAGACTTGACGAAGGTGCTCCTGAGATCAAAATTGATGTCGAATCACATTCGACATAGGAGTGCAAAGGGTTAAGATAATTTGGATTATTAACTAATCCAGACCTAACCCAGACCTAACCCAGACCTAAACCAGACCTAACCCAGATCTAATTCAGATCTAATCCAGACCTAACCCAGATCTAATTCAGATCTAATCCAGACCTAACCCAGAGCTATCTCAGATCTAATCCAGACCTAACCCAGACCTAACCCAGATCTAGGGTCTGGGTTAGGTCTGGGTTAGGTCTGGGTTATGTCTTGGTTAGGTCTGGGTTAGGTCTGGATTAGATCTGAATTAGATCTGAGTTAGGTCTGGGTTAGGTCTGGATTAGATCTAAGTTAGGTCTGGGTTAGGTCTGGATTAGATCTGAGTTAGGTCTGGGTTAGGTCTGGATTAGATGTGGATTAGATCTGGGTTAGGTCTGGATTAGATCTGGGTTAAGTCTGGATTAGATCTGGGTTAGGTCTGGGTTAGGTCTGGGTTAGGTCTCATTTACACTGTTGTTGTATTTTGTAATTTCCAAGTGTATGATTTGGTTTGGACTCGAAAAAATGTCGAATGGGACTTGACGAACAATGCTTTTAAGTGTTTTATTTGAAATTTACCTGTTAAAATAAGTGTTTTATTTACACTGTTGTTGTATTTTGTAATTTCCAAGTGTATGATATCTGTTTGGTTTGGACTTTTAAGAATGTCGAGTGAGACTTGACGAAGGTGCTCCTGAGATCAAAATTGATGTCGAATCGCACGCGACATAGGAGTGCAAAGGGTTAAGATAATTTGGATTATTAACTAATCCAGACCTAACCCAGACCTAACCCAGACCTAAACCAGACCTAACCCAGATCTAATTCAGATCTAATCCAGACCTAACCCAGATCTAATTCAGATCTAATCCAGACCTAACCCAGAGCTATCTCAGATCTAATCCAGACCTAACCCAGACCTAACCCAGATCTAGGGTCTGGGTTAGGTCTGGGTTAGGTCTGGGTTATGTCTTGGTTAGGTCTGGGTTAGGTCTGGATTAGATCTGAATTAGATCTGAGTTAGGTCTGGGTTAGGTCTGGATTAGATCTAAGTTAGGTCTGGGTTAGGTCTGGATTAGATCTGAGTTAGGTCTGGGTTAGGTCTGGATTAGATCTCGATTAGATCTGGGTTAGGTCTGGGTTAGGTCTGGATTAGATCTGGGTTAGGTCTGGGTTAGGTCTGGGTTAGGTAAGCCCAAATCGACAATTTATCATGTACTTGTATGTTATCATGTGTTGGTAATCGAAAAAAAATGAAAACTGTTGTTGAGTCATTTGATTATTTAAAATTCCCCAAGCAGTCAAAATGACTGCTTTTTTGGGCAATATAGGTATAACACATATATACATACCGGAAATGAAGGAGGGGAGAGGTAACTACAATTATTAATAAACGCATTTATATGTTGTACAAAAAGTCACAAAATTCTAAGAAATTGTGTCATTATATACATAATTGTTTTTCTAATTGAAATTAAAAAGCAGTCAAAATGACTTCCTTGGGCAATCTAGTGTTAAGAAGGGGATGAAACAGTAGATGACAAGATGACAAAAGAACTCAGATTGGATACGACGAGTGACAATTCAAAATGAAAAATCCACCATTCATTTGCAAGTTTTCACAGAATGAACGGTACATCTATAGAGCAATTTTCACGTTCTACAATCGCGAGATTTTCATTTAAGATTTAGATGAAAGAGTAGATGAGAAAAGAACTCACCGCAGATTGGATATGACGACGGTGTAGTTGCCCTCAATGCTGACCAGTCCAACGTTCTGAAGTATAATGCCGGTGATGAGCATGCCGATCAGGGCAGGAAGGGTGGTTAAGGAGAAGAGCCATCCCCCGAAATGTGCCACTATTGACAGAGCAGCTAGACCGAAGAGCTGGCCACCAGGGGCTGCGTCGTCGCCGATCACCGAATAGACGATACCCCAGAGCAACAGCCCTAACAGGAAGAGACACAACAGTCTGGCGAATTTTCTGTAGCTGGGGCAAAATGGCTGCGGACAGGCTCTTTTCCAGCCGGGTGGCTCCCACGATGGCGTGTCGTCGCGACCGTGGCATCGCGAGCAAAATACGTACAACCACGACCTGAAAGGGACATTAAGGAAAAGTAGTGTTACAGCTGTCGTTCCTTTTGACCTGTTGCTCGCGTTCTTTCCACCTCGTTTCACCCGTAGTGAGACAGAAGCTTTTGGCAAAAAAATTGGAAGAACTTTCTGCGAGTCTTTTCACCAAAACGAAATTTCAATCAAGCATTCTTAACACTAGATTTACGGAAGTCGTCAATTTGACGGATGTCTGATTCCATATTTAAAATTGAAGAACGCGTAAATATTATTTTTTAACAACTTGTGTTGAATTTGATCGATGCAATGGCACGAATACATATTCTAATTAAAAGAAAAATCGTATTGTAAGGTAATCGTGAACATGAAAGGTATCAATAAATATACGTGCGATCAATGCCCGTAAATCTAGTGTTAAATATATTCAAGTTAGTTGTTATTTTAGAATTTTTTGAGTCATTGTTTACGAATTTGAGGATCACAAAACCACCACTTAAATTTCCATAAAACACCCTTTTGTTGAACATTTTCACCGAAATAAAATTTTCATTTTTAACTTGAAATTTTTAAATTTTATTCCAATATCAACATTTGTCAAATCTTTGTACAAATCCAACGTGTTTATTAAACCTTCATTGCACTATATTTTCCCCCAAATATAATATATTCAAATCATACTTTTTATTCTAGGATTTTAGAGTCGTTGCCATTAATACTTTGACTGCCAATTTAGAACGATAAAATTGTTTACGAGACCAAAACTTTGATTTTAGACAATTGTAAACTACATAACTTAAAACTTATCGTAGTACTTATTTTCATAAACTTCAGTAAAATTTATGAAGCCTATTAAAATTTATTTTCTTTAACATTTAAATTTGAGAATTAATTGTTTTAGTTAAACTGTTAAAAGTTCTGTGACCTATATATGGGTCACGTGGCAGTCAAAGTGTTAAATTTCCATCAAAAAATTAGAAGAATCCTCTTTTGTCGAACATTTTCACCAAAATAAAATTTCAATCGAGCATTCTTAAATATATTCAAGTTACTTGTTATTTTAGAAATTGTTTACGAGACCAAAACTTTGATTTTAGACAATTGTAAACAGCATAACTTAAAACTTATTATAGTACTTATTTTCATAACTTCGAGTAAAATTTATGATGCCTATTAAAATTTATTTTCTATAACATTTAAATTTGAGAATTAATTGTTGTGATTCTACTGTTAAAAGTTCTGTGACCCATATATGGGCCACGTGGCAGTCAAAGTGTTAAATAAAAATATATCAATGTGCTCATTTTCAAAGTGTCTTCGTTCCAAATGAATACTTACAATATTTTTCGATCAAAAATCTAATTATAGCAAAGTACGATTTTAAACGATGTATTTTTTCGTGCAACGTATAAACATAGTTGATCCTGAAGATTCCAAAAAACGATGAAACCATTTCAATGTATTCAAGTTACTTGTAATTTTAGAATTTTTGCGTCATTGTTTACGAATTTGAGGATCACAAAACACCCACTGTCATTAAATTTCCATCAAAAAATTACAAGAACCCTCTTTTGTCGAACATTTGCACCAAAATAAAATTTGAATTCAGTATTCCAATATCAATATTTGTCAAATCTTTGTAAAAATCCAACGTGTTTATTAACCTTTCATTGCACTATATTTTTCCACAAATATAATCAAGTTACTTGTTAGTTTAGAATTTTTGAGTCGTTGTTTACGAATTTTAGCACAAAACACCCATTGTTATTAAATTTCCATAAAAAAAGTACAAGAACCCTCTTTTGTCGAACATTTTCACCAAAATAAAATTTGAATCGAGCATTCTTAAATATATTCAGGTTACTTGTTATTTTAGAAATTGTTTACGAGACCAAAACTTTGATTTTAGACAATTGTAAGCTACATAACTTAAAACTTATCGTAGTACTTATTTTCATAACTTCAGAAATATTTATGAAGCCTATTAAAATTTATTTTCTTTAACATTTCAACTTGAGAATTAATTGTTGTGATTCTACTGTTAAAAGTTCTGTGACCCATATGTGGGTCACGTGGCAGTCAAAGTGTTAAATTTCCATCAAAAAATTAGAAAAATCCTCTTTTGTCGAACATTTTCACCAAAATAAAATTTGAATTAAATATTCCAATATCAATATTTGTCAAATCTTTGTACAAATTCAACGTATTTATTAACCTTTCATTGCACTATATTTTCCTTCAATTTTATTCAAGTTACTTGTAATTTTAGAATTTTGGAGTCATTGTTTACGAATTTGAGAATCACAAAACCCCCAGTGCCATTAAATTTCCATCAAAAAATTACAAAAACCCTCTTTTGTCGAACATTTTCAGAAAAATGAAATTTGAATTAAGAATTTCAATATCAATATTTGTCATATCTTTGTACAAGTTCAATGTATTTATTAATCCTTCATTGCACTATATTTTCCCTCAAATATATTCAAGTTACTTGTTATTTTAGAATTTTTGAGTCATTGTTTACGAATTTGAGGATCACAAAAACCCCACTGTCATTAAATTTCCATAAAAAAATTATAAGAAACCTCTTTTGTCGAACATTTTCACCAAAATAAAATTTGAATTAAGTATTCCAATATCAATATTTGCCAAATCTTTGTAAAAATCCAACGTATTTATTAACCTTTCATTGCACTATATTTTTCCACAAATATAATCAAGTTACTTGTAATTTTAGAATTTTTGAGTCATTGTTTATGAATTTGAGGATCACAAAACCCCCACTGTCATTAAAATTTATTTTCTTTAACATTTCAACTTGAGAATTAATTGTTTTAGTTAAATTGTTAAAAGTTCTGTGACCTATATATGGGTCACGTGGCAGTCAAAGTGTTAAATTTCCATAAAAAAAGTATAAGAACCCTCTTTTGTCGAACATTTGCACCAAAATAAAATTTGAATTAAGTATTCCAATATCAATATTTGTCAAATCTTTGTAAAAATCCAACGTATTTATTAACCTTTCATTGCACTATATTTTTCCACAAATATAATCAAGTTACTTGTAATTTTAGAATTTTTGAGTCATTGTTTATGAATTTGAGGATCACAAAACCCCCACTGTCATTAAAATTTATTTTCTTTAACATTTCAACTTGAGAATTAATTGTTTTAGTTAAATTGTTAAAAGTTCTGTGACCTATATATGGGTCACGTGGCAGTCAAAGTGTTAAATTTCCATAAAAAAAGTATAAGAACCCTCTTTTGTCGAACATTTTCACCAAAATAAAATTTGAATTCAGTATTCCAATATCAATATTTGTCAAATCTTTGTAAAAATCCAACATGTTTATTAATCTTTCATTGCACTATATTTTCCCTCAAATATATTCAAGATACTTGTAATTTTAGAATTTTTGAGTCATTGTTTATGAATTTGAGGATCACAAAACCCCCACTGTCATTAAAATTTATTTTCTTTAACATTTCAACTTGAGAATTAATTGTTTTAGTTAAATTGTTAAAAGTTCTGTGACCTATATATGGGTCACGTGGCAGTCAAAGTGTTAAATTTCCATAAAAAAAGTATAAGAACCCTCTTTTGTCGAACATTTGCACCAAAATAAAATTTGAATTAAGTATTCCAATATCAATATTTGTCAAATCTTTGTAAAAATCCAACGTATTTATTAACCTTTCATTGCACTATATTTTTCCACAAATATAATCAAGTTACTTGTAATTTTAGAATTTTTGAGTCATTGTTTATGAATTTGAGGATCACAAAACCCCCACTGTCATTAAAATTTATTTTCTTTAACATTTCAACTTGAGAATTAATTGTTTTAGTTAAATTGTTAAAAGTTCTGTGACCTATATATGGGTCACGTGGCAGTCAAAGTGTTAAATTTCCATAAAAAAAGTATAAGAACCCTCTTTTGTCGAACATTTTCACCAAAATAAAATTTGAATTCAGTATTCCAATATCAATATTTGTCAAATCTTTGTAAAAATCCAACATGTTTATTAATCTTTCATTGCACTATATTTTCCCTCAAATATATTCAAGATACTTGTAATTTTAGAATTTTTGAGTCATTGTTTATGAATTTGAGGATCACAAAACCCCCACTGTCATTAAAATTTATTTTCTTTAACATTTCAACTTGAGAATTAATTGTTTTAGTTAAATTGTTAAAAGTTCTGTGACCTATATATGGGTCACGTGGCAGTCAAAGTGTTAAATTTCCATAAAAAAAGTACAAGAACCCTCTTTTGTCGAACATTTTCACCAAAATAAAATTTGAATTAAATATTCCAATATCAATATTTGCCAAATCTTTGTACAACTCCAATGTATTTATTAATCTTTCATTGCACTATATTTTCCCTCAAATAAATTCAAGTCATACTTTTTACCCTAGAATTTTAGAGTCGTTGCTTACGAATTTGAGAATCAAAAGAAAATTTGATCCCACTGCCATTAAAATTTTCATTTATACAGTGTTTTTGACTTTTCTCAAATACCCCTCGACAAACTCTAATTTTCCAGTTTAATAAATTTACACCACTTCGATTGGTAAACTCTTTTCCTATTTTGCTCAGCAACCAAACTCGAATCAACACGATCTCAAAGAAAAACCGCGTTTCCATTAAAAATTAATTTTAACACATTACCGACCGATAGCCTATTAATCGACTTTTTTACCGACCAACGCTTACCGACCGATAGCGTATTAATCAACTTTTTTACCGACCGATAGCCGATTAATCAACCGCTACCGGTCGGTAAAGTGTTAAAACAGGTATAATTTTCATCAAGGACTGCTCTTACTCGTAGATGCTCTAATTTTTCAGTTTAATGAATTTCCACCACCTTTCAGAAAGTGTTTCACGCTTAATTTGAATGGTTTCGAACAACCATCAAGTATTTCACTCGTTCAATCCTCGAAAATATTAATATAAGCGTTCCGTGAGAAGCAAAGACAAAAAAGTAAGGCGTGCAAAGAAGGCAAGGTGCAGCTG